GGCCATCTCAAAGCGCTACATGCCAGAATTCATCAACTACTCACTGAACGTCCTCTACCACCTCAATCCGGAGGAGCAGACCGACGCATCCGCCATGGGATTCTTTCCCTCTCGGAGTCCATCTACGTCTCTCCGACTGAACCTTTCTTCCAAGCCCATCTCTTCCCGCAGACTTCGATTCTGGGACGTGGCGGATGCGCCTGAAGACGAGGACCAACTCAAGCTCTCCATCATCAATACTTTTGTCAACCTTCTTTCCTCCGCCTCTGATACTTGGTCTGGCAAGTCCGCCTATACCGAGATTTTTTCCCCCGTAGAGAAAGTCCTCTCCTGCCTTTTCCAAGCTCTCGACATCACCACCAAGGGCAAGGGTAAAGCCAGCAAGAACCTCATATCCTCCTCCGTGCTCGATTCCTTCAAGTCGACCCTCGACAAGATCACCGCGCAACTCTCCCAAGCCCGCCACGCCCGTCGGCCCCTCCTCCTCCATAACCACCGGCCCCTCGCTATCAAGACCGCGATTCCCAAGTTCGAGGAATCCTTCAATCCCGACAAGCACTATGATCCCGACCGCGAGCGCGCTGAGGCCAACCGTCTCAAGGCGGAGTACAAGCGCGAGCGCAAGGGTGCCATGCGCGAGCTCCGCAAGGACGCCAACTTCATTGCGCGCGAGAAGCTGCGCGAGAAGAAGGAGCGCGATGCGGAGTACGAACGCAAGTACAAGCGCCTCGTGGCCGAGGTGCAGAATGAGGAGGGCAGGGAGGCGAATGCTTATGAGAGAGTCAAGAGGATGCGACAGGGCAAGCGGTGATCACGACGATCTTGGCGCCTCTTCTCCCCGACTCCATGACATAGATGCATCTTTCCCCTTCGCTGGTTTTGACCTCGATGTGTCTCTTGCAAGCCGGTCTTGGGTGCGTAGATGGGTGGACTGCTTCGGGAGTTTCGCCTTCGCGTCCCACCCAACATCTTGTAGTATGCTCTGGCACATCTATGTACATATCTACCTTTTCTTTATATCTACTACAGTATTTTGTCGACGGTGTTAGGGCAGATAGAAAAAACTTACCATCTTTCACAATTCCATGGATTGGATTGGCATTCTGTGCTCTAGTAGACCACGGCTATACGTATGTTGGCCCACGATTCAAGATCAGGAGGGATGCAGATATGTACATGCGTAGAGAAAACAAAGTAAACTCGTCCAAAGAACCGACGTTGCATGAGTGTCGAGAAGGACTCACTGTTGCAAGGCAATTCCAATACTGATTAGGTAGTCGCATCTCGCCTTCTGATCTAGCGGCACCTTCTCCATCTTGGTGTCTCCCGTCCTAATGAAGAGCCGACGGTCGCTGTTGCCATTACCACTCCAGGTCTCCCATTCTGGACTACCAGGATAGCGATAGGGATTCGGATCGAAGGCCTTGATGAAGCTAGTCCAGTACCCCTGCATGACGGGGATGATAGGCGCATTTGAGGTGAAGTAGGACGCGGGTGGTGTTCCAGTCACATACTGCGGACCCCAGATGGCATTCAGTTCTACGACATGGTAAACCCCTTCCCCGGTGGATTCAGAGCTCGGGTCTTGGACTGCATAGTGATAATTCCAGCTTTTCACCCCGGCTTCTGAGAACGCCGTTGACATGGCGATACCGGGACAATTGTAGCGGAGTTCGCCATATGCGTTGCTGGTCGGCCGCCAATATACACCAGCATCAGGAAACAACATAGTCTGGTTCTCATCGAGGTACAAGTGATTGACTATGGCGAGCTGGTCTAGTTGGATTGCTGGGAATTGACTCTGGATGAATGTGTCGGCCTCGCCCACACTGGATATACTCTTCGGGACAAATGTTGTGCCTTCATTGGTCACATCGCCAAATATAACAGGGACCTTGATAAATTTCCCTAGGGAGAATAACCGGTATGTATAGTCAGGGACTAGGTCGCCATCAATGGTAGGCGCATAGAAGTAGAGGGGCGGCTTCTGTGCGTCAGGAAGGGGGGTGCCGATGTTTTGCCGCTGGAAGGTTCCTGCGTCCAATTTGCGCAAACACGATAGAGTGTCGTCTTCGCTTGCACAGCCAGTGCGAATCACGAGGTTGTTATACGCAAATTGAGCTTCGGTTGCAGTCAGCATGGTGGCAAAGCTTTGCGATTCCGCAGCAGCGGCATGGAAAAGACCTCGATCCTCCCCAGCGTAGGCCGAGAGGAGAAGAGTAATTGAGGCTGCTCCTGCACTGTCCCCTCCAATGACCACATGTTCAGGATCACCGCCAAACTTGGGCGTAGTAGGTCAGTGCAAAGTCGCACTCATTTGGGCAAGCTTTGGCTTACTTTTGTTATATGCGTCTGAACCCACTGCAAGACTTTAATCTGATCTTTGAGCCCGTTGTTCGAACTTCCACCTTTCAGGACCTCAGACCCCGAGAGGAACCCGTAAGGACCGACTCGGTAGTTGAAGTTAACCACCACGATACCAGTCTCGGACGCCTGAATCAGCCCAGTCCCGTTGAAGTTGGCATTCGAGTCTGCATTAAAGCCTCCGCCTTGGATAAACACAAAGACCGGCAGCTTTGATGCATTCCTTGCCCGATTCGGAGCGTACACATCAAGGAACAGACAGTCTTCAGATGTCCCAGTTGGGATGGGGTACTGATCGGTGGGTATACACAAGGGACCATGCTAACTCTGACATCTCAGCGTCGGTTCAAGACAAGGACTGTGTGCTACAGTCTTAAAGGGGGTCCCCAACAATACCTGAAAGGCAGTCTGAACTCCTTCCGCCGTTTCTGGATCTTGAGGCGCAGCAAATCGCAAGGACCCTACAGGAGGGGCAGCATAGCGAATTCCCAACCATTGCACAATGCCATTGGAGAGGGCCTGTCCTCGATATTGCGAATAGCCAAGGTTAACCGTCACATTTTGGAAGCATTCCACATGAATGATGAGGCAGATGACCAGTGTTTGGAAAATCAGTCTCATGATAATGACGATGATGTCAAGCAACAGCCGCGAATGGCTTGCTGCAGAACCGCGGTGTGTTTACGCCGTGCTTTCATGCTGTGCGAGCAGAGCATCCCTTTTGAATGGCATATCAACCAGAGTCGAGACCCCTGAAGGCATGCTTCGAGGAATGCGATGGATCCGCCCTTCAATCCAGAAAGGGCTCTCCTTGCATCATCACATGATGGATGTGAGCCGTCATCCTGAGTTTCTCGGCAATGATTGACGCAGACAACGATATGATCCGGAATTGTGAGGACCAATTGAAGAGTGCCAGCAAAGAGGGGTGTATGTACACCCCGAGCCGTAAGTTGCGAATAATGTCAATGGATGGATGGATGGATGGACGGGTGAGGTGTACGCCAACTGGTGGTGGATTAACTAGTTGGTAGAGCGAGCAAGGAATACTCCCAAACCGGAGAGGGAAAATCCGCATCTCCGCATCAGCTCATCTACTTCCCCGCAGTCGATCTTCCCTGCTTGGCTGCTCTGACTCTGAGCTTGTTACTCCGTCTGACGTGGCTAGCGTTTCTCTAGTCAAGTGAGGCGCAATTTGTGATTGAACCCTTTTCCTTGATTTCACGGCGTCTACTTCTGGATCCCGGTCTTCCCTGTCGTTCCTGTCACTCTCCGGCCGATAACCCAACCCCTCCGCACGCGCAATGCCTGAGGCAGACGAGGAGGAAGACGATTACATGTCCATGGTTATTGAGGAACCACGGCAGAAGGAAACCTTTTCCCAAAAGAAGCGCCGACAACAACGAGAAGTAAGTATCAGGTTAGATTTGAAGATTCGTCCAGATCGAACGCTAACTAACCGTTCTTGAATCAGGCTGAAGCGCGTGCCAGAGTCCCTTCAAAAGCCGAACGCGCTGCGGACGAAGCAGCACGTCGCGATGCAGCTCTTGCCACCAGTGCGCTGAACCCTTCCAACAAGGGCTTCCAGATGATGGCCAAATTGGGCTTCAAACCTGGACAGGCCCTAGGAAAGCCTGAATCATCTCAGGGAACGCAGCCGGACGAACCCAATGCTCGACTCCGATCCGAGCCTCTCAATTTGGTAATCAAAGAGGATAAGGGTGGAATTGGGCTGGATAGCGAGCGGAAGCGCAAGTTCCTCGAGGAAGCCGAGCATGTTGCCAAGAAAGTGAAAGAGGATGAGGGCGATTATCGCGACCGTGTCCGGCTTGAGCGGGAGATGCGCCGAGCGGAGGCGCAGGTGCATGCTGCGCAGAAGGTTGCTGAGCGTTTGGATGCCGAGGCTGAGACGGACGAAAAGCCGCCATCCAGCGCAGTGAAAGGAGATTCTTCCGAAACGCAAAAGACAGGTGGGGAAAGGGAAGGTTCAACCCCGGATGATACGGCTGGCGAACCTGTGACAAGCAAGTCGCAGAAGGCCAAGCCAACGTCTCAAATTAACATCCTTTACCGCGGGCTAGTCCGTGAACGCGAGGAGAAAGAACGCAATCTTCAGCTGCGTCATATGCTGCAAACATCACTCTCTTCTGGGTTTTTTCCCAATCCGCGCTTACCAGGACACAACGATCCGACACTGGATCGAGATGACGAAGAAGCTATTGGGGGGCAACGAGAGCCATCAATGGTTCTCGAGCAAGAAATCGAAGAAGATGATCCCGAGCTAGATGAGTTTAATGCGTTAGGCCCGAGCGAACAGCTGTCCCAATTGGTACGGTATCTACGTGATCAACATCACTACTGTTTCTGGTGTAAGTATCGATACGAGAGTGCTGAGATGGAAGGATGTCCAGGGGTGACAGAAGAGGATCACGATTGATGCCACATGGATGTGCTATACGTAACGCAATATATCATCTGCTATTCCTGTACTTGATAGTTAAGCATTATAATTATATCTTGGGGTTGCACCCGCCGATTTCAAATTGGCCCGTCATGTCCAGTGTAAAAGTCAACAAACGAAATACCGGAAAGAAAAGCCCTAATCGCCATCACTAGAGCTAGATTCGTCCAAACCACACGCAACAAATAGTCGCAACTCGAGGGGAATCTTGTTTCATGCGGAAGTATAAATGAACAGAGAATGGGAAAAAAAAATCGAGGTATATAAAGCAGGAAGAGAATGTTCGAGAGAAGCAACAGCCTTTTGGTTCGACCATACTCTTGTCTGACCGTATACAGTGAGAGAAGCAGTATTACGAACGTCATTGGAATCATCATTGAGAAGAAGGGAGCGACCTCATCAATTGCGCCAACGACCGGTTAGGGCATTTCTGCAAGGCCTGATAGCATCCTCCGCATATGCGCAGACAGCAGAAAACACACCGGTGTCGCACTTCGTGGTCAAACTTCTGGCACGTCATGCAGGGCAGCGCATACCAGGCATTGTTAGCTGGAGGCATTGACCGGTGGTCTTGGTAACAAGCGTAATGGAGTTTATTCAGAGGCACAGCCACCGGCTCGTAGTCGGGAGGCGTCCACGGGCCCCTATCATCTTCACTGGAGAGAGAATCGACAGGCGCCTCGGATTCAGGTTCGGGCTCAGGGATGAAATGGTCCAGTGAATCTACCGCACTGGGGCGATTAGATTCCGGTTCTAGGTCTTCTTCGCTGGACGGCGGGGTTGGTTGCGGCGGGATAGGCGGCCGGTAAGCCCGAAACACCGGAGGTTCAGGAAGAGGGCCATCCGGCGGGCTGTAAGGCGGGCGCTGACTGCGGCCGTCAGTCAAAGACCTCGGGCCAGCAGAGGGTTGTACAGTGGGAGGAGAAGGGAGTTCGTCAGGCTCTTGCGATCGGAACGGCGGAGGTGCCGGAGTGACTTCGGATCGTGGGGGGGTCACAGCAGGAGCTGCCGGAGGTAGCAGGACGGGCGCGGATTCCTTCGTAGGCAGAGATTCAGAAGACTTTTGCTTGAAGCCTTTTTTGGCAAAGGAAGGCACTCGCAGGCCGCGGGACCGACTTTCTTTGTCTAGAATCGCCATCTTGCCTCGTTTTGAGGGTTGCTGTCCTGTACTGTCCCTGCAATAACTTGATCAAGGACAATACAAAGAAGTGGGCCGAAGGAAAGGGTATCTCTCGACAATCCAAGATATATGGTTCTATAAGTGTATGAATAGATGGATGTGTGACTTTGGAGTTTGTCAAGAAAGAGAGATCGGAGAATTAAATGAATACCAGAAAGAGAGAGAGGGAGAGAGAGAGGAAGAGGGTGGAGGGAACCGATGGAGGGGGACTGAAAGAGAGGGGGACTCTTTTTTTTTAGAGCAGATCTTTAGGGGACAGGACAAGACATTGAGATGAATTCATCACATCTCGAACAGACTACTGAATGGTTAGGGTTTTATCTCTCAGTTGGTTCAATTCCTGCTGTTTCTTCAGCGATTGACCAATGTAATGGAGACCATAAAAAAGTGGGTTGAATCCGGGTTTCGAGCCAGGAACGCGCAAGTTCGGAAGGGTAAGTAAGTTCGTAACAGGGGAAAAAAAAACAAAAAAACAAAAAAAACACCAGAGCTGAACCACGGATCCACTGAGTCTTGACAGAGGAAGGAAGGACAAAGGGTAACAGGCAGATGGCCGGCCTGCTTGGATCAGAAATACAAGATTCAAGGCAGACTCGAAATTTGACTGGCGGATACTTGGAGGAAACTGCCCAGCTAGTACACAGATAGCACCGTGACAGGACTGAAGTGGGAAGCATGTTCGATGTTCGATCTTAACAAACCAGAAGAAGACGAGAAAAGGAGAGCGAATGACAGTGTCTCTGCAAAGCTATCGATCGCGTCAGTCCGTCGCAAGGACTGACTAGTGGATGATAGCGTCATTTCAACCCCTTTGGGTCATTCCAGCCATTGATAGGAATTTCCGCACCCTCTGCCCGGTCTTATCGAATCACTACTCGGATGGGCTGAAGCGAGGAAGTGGGAACTTGAAGTGATAAACAACCTCAGTTGAGGGTCTGCCAGTTGGGACTTTGGGAGTTTCGCCAAAAACCCTTCAGACACTCAGTCAATGATAAAATTGCAGTGTCGATCAGCGATTGCCACCCCTGTCCACCCAGACCAAGAATAATACATGTACTATGTACTCATACAATGTACACTGCAGTACTAGATATGTAAGATCCGTGCTCGGAATTGGTGGCACTACTATGAGTGAGTAGGACGAATCAGAGCAGAAGACGAGGAATGAATGATAGACCCTGGTCTGGCGCAGAAGAGAGTGCGCGAGACCTGTCTGTCTGTCTGTCATCTGGAGTCCTGATAAACTACTTCTAAATTATGTACTGTACTGCACTGTACAGGATTTACATAGTAGATACTTCATACCATTTTTTGTTCTATGGAGGTGATGGAGCAGAGTTGATCGTCCTTGTAACAAGGTCCGAGTACCTTACAATGTGCCCTGTAACTTAAGTACTACGTAAGTTCAGCGGAGTGCATGTAATCTTAAGTTACTACCTAGTACCAAGTACGGAGTCCACTGCACAACAAATTCCCCGAAACGAGTCAGAATGCCCAATGAGAACACGTGGGAATGTCCTTGATAATGTACTTCAGAATCTACAGCGCCGTAACAAAGTAGTACTTGGATAAGTATCTATAAGTTGTAGGGTTGTACTAGGTCCAATCCTGACTAGTATGTACCTATCTTACTGTATTCCTGTCCGTCATCCAAATTCTCATTCATTGTCTTTCGAGTCTTGACCTTGGGGGTAATGAATGACAGAACACCACGCACTAAATTATTCTCCGGTGGAGCCTCTATCATATGGGCTGAAACAACTCCAAGGTCTTGAGACTATTAAAGGATCCGCTCCACTTCGAGTTTAAAAACAAGGTCACCAGCCATGGAATTTGCATGTGTTCGATACAAATGAGCTTGATCAATCCAAACATGTATTATGTGCGTCCTCGATTTTGGCTTGGGTGCCCGCGTTCCCTGTTTTGCAGCATCCTTTTCTTCAGTAAAGCCCAAGCAAACATCCGTAAGGTGTTGGAGCGTTGCCATTTGAGAGAGTGATAGACAAAGGAACCAAGATTGAAGACAGGTGTCGAATCTATGCAATGGTATGTATATAGAGACAAAAGAAACGCGGGCCAGCTACCAAAAAAAGGATCCATGCACATACAGGACTTCGTTAGGTGCAGCAACGGCAGAAGCATAAAGAATTGTATCACTATCATTCCTACCTCCCTCCCTAAAACCCCCCTTCGCGCGAGTGACCTGTTGTAAATTATCCCTCCGCAAAAGTGGACGCAAGTTGGAGCAACGTCGCAAGGCAGCCTGGTCGAACAGACGAAAAGGCCTCATCCCGCAAAATATTAAGATCTAGGAGGCAGTCTCTGTATCTCCTGTAGTGGATGGTAATTCAACCGAGCGAGACTCCAACTCCTTCGGAATTAACTCTTCATTCTTAGGCACCTCCAAGGAAGCAGGCGTCGGCGCAGTTATCACTTGTCCAGACTTCACCATTTCATCATTGGCGGTAGCAGAGTGGGAAGTTGATGCTGCGCTCGATGCATCGGGTTTTAGTGTTGTATCTTCCACGTGCTCCGTTGCTTCGTCGCCTTTGTCTTCGTCTCCAATCACAGCGGCTAGACTGCGAAAGTTGAATATGGGCTCGGTGGAGGAGCTCGCACCATTAGCAGATGTGTGAAGTCCAGTATGGCCCTCATTCATCGATTCGACCAGAGATGAAAACGACGAGGACGCGCTAGAGACATGGCGTAAATGTGACGGTCGCGGGTGCGACGAGGTTGGCAAATGGAGAGCATGGTCGGTCGGCGTCGCGATAACAGCTGGCGAAGACTGTGCGCCTTCGAGGCTAGAGACAACCTCAGTTGGGATAACCGCAATTTGACCTGGAGGTGGCGCACGATCTACCTCCTTGCCCTTGCTAGTAGAGGGAGGCTCTTCGCCGGTAAGAGAGGAGGAGCTGCTGATGACTTTTCCTAGGCTGGAATCGCCAACCACGTCCAGGGCAGAATTACTGGCATTATCACTGGACGGACCTGACTTGCGCGCAACCTTCTCCGCCTTCTTGGCTTCTTTCTCTCTTCGCTTTGCCTCCTTCTTCGCCTCCTTCTCCTCCTTTTTGCGCCGCTCCTCTTCACTGGCTAAACTCAGCCGAATAGCTTCCATCATCATCATTTCCTCGAGGTCATCGATACGATTTCTCCTTGACCTGCTGCGTGGTGGTGCAATGCTGTTTGGAGCCTCTTCTGCGGGATCATTTTCTTGGCCTGCAGCACGACGGTCTGTTAAAAATGCAAGGGCCTGCAGCGCAGGGGAGCCGGTTCGCGAGGTGTTTTGACTCTCTGGTCCCCCATTCCGTCGCATAACACTCCTTCTTCCAAGGCCAAAATTCCTCGAGTCGGCGCCAGAACCATTGTTGTGCATGAGATAGGCGGCAGTGTGAAGAGCGGTCGCTGCCGCAGATCGTCGCGCGGCATGTGCTCTGGCGTTTGCTAGCTTCTGTGCCCAATCAGGCCGGACCCTATCAGTTGTGACCACAGTTGGGTCATTGGCAGATAATGACGTCGCGCGACGACGGCCCGTCACAGGGGTAGTGCTAGACGAAAGGGACGAGCTGGAGGATAGTGGAGATGTAAGATTCGGACGGGCACCCATGTCGCTTGCGTAAGCCAGTCCTCGACGGAATGGCGGTGGTGCATAAGTGACTCCAAATTCAGGCTGAACGCAAAACGGACATGCTGCCGGTTCCGATACTAATTGACCGTCCTCATTATCCGCGCGCTCACCATCAGCCGCCGACTGCGCATTTTGTTCTGTCTCTCCGTGCTCCCGAGGGTGGGGGTCAGGTCGTTTAATCTGGACGAAACACTCGGAACAAATTGGTTGGTCGCAACATCTCGTCCGGTTGAGATAGGGGGGGTAATACAGAAAGCAAATGGGACATTCGGCAGCCGCTTTGTACAGATAAGCCTCAATCGGCTGTCCATTTACAAAAGGATCATGTGGAAGGTGAATTTCTCGAGTCATTGTATCGGATTGAATGCCATGCTTAGACGTGGAAAGGGATGCCAATGTCTTTGCACGGGTCCGAAACATAGGTGAGCTGGAAGCGCCGGAAGCGATAGGAGAGGTCGGTGAGGGGAGTGAATGGGCTGGTGTAGAAGACTGAGAAGCATCCGAGCCGTACGACTGAGACCTGGAAGTAATAGGTACCATCAAGTGTTGTACCGTGGGTGTATCCGAGGCGTCCCGGGCATCTTCTCCAGATTTAGGCGGATTCTTATATTCCAGCTCCGGAGGAATTTCATCCGGAGGGGGGATTGGCAGGCCTCGCGCTGCTGCCATCAGCTGATGTTCTGTCCATGAGTCTGAGAAGTCGTTGAGACCTCTCCAGAATGGTGCAAGTCGTCGTTCGACCTAAGCAAGCTTAAGTCAGGTTCGATAATACAGGCAAGTAAATCTTATCGTCGACTTACCATTAATTGGCGAACCACAGCCTTATTGAAATCTTCGGTTCCGGTGTATACACCTTGCGTTACCAGGTAACCGCCATCAACATTCTCTTCTTTCATACTACGCTCTCGTTCTTTGAGGCGGGCCGCCCGTTCCTTCTCAAGCCGGCGAGCTTCCCTTTCCTGTCTAGTTTCTCGCCGATGTTCAAGCGACGCCACATCTCGCTCCGAATGTGTGTTGATACCGAGGATGGATAGATCGGGTCCGCTGCCTCGAGTCGATCGAGAACCGTCAGCGTGGTGGCGGTCGCCATACGGGCCATGATGATGGCTTCTGCGCCCTGGCGCAGTAAGAGACGGTCTGCTTTCTTTCGTCTGGGAATTGCCCATCTCGAATAAGAAGGGAAAAAGAAGAGCAAAGCAATTGGGTACCAACGGGCAGGAGGTCAAGGCCCGGTTGGGAAATCCCGGATAAGCAAGCAAAGAAAGAGGCGGCGAATTCTCCGGCCAGCAATCAACAATGGAAGTGGCTAGAGATAATCGGAATGATGTGCAGTAATAATGATGGTTCGGCCACAAGCGACTAGGGAAAATGAAGGGGAGAACGAAAAGCGCATAGGTTAGAGGAGTGTCAGTTGCTTGAGAAAGGGTGGACACAAAATGTCAGTAAACCCAACGTGGCCATGTGAGCGGACGAGGATGAAGCTGGAAGCGGCGATGAGATCAGAAGCGCGGGCTCGAGCTAACTAACCGCGGGACGATAGATAGTCTGGGGCCGAATAAGGGGAGACAGAGGGAGGGGAAGGGAAAGGAAACTGAAGACTCAAGAGTAACATAAAAGTGTTAGTGTATCCCCACGAAAAGATGAGTTGGTTGGTCGTGGTCTAGGAAGAGCATTAATGGGAGAGAGATGGGGCAGGAAGAGGAAGGAGGAGAGAAAAGAGACGGCCGAGCGATCAACAATCATGAATGCAGCACAGTAGGTTAGTTGACTTGGTTAGTTAGTGGTTAGTTAGTCAAGTCATCCAGACAGTTCAGTCGTCAGACAGCAAGGCCGAGGAACGGATTTGGTAATGCCGGAATACGGATACGGTGTGATACGAGATCTACGTATAGTACATGTACTGTATGTACTATCGGCCAGATAGTAGCCGCTAACTTCAAGGTTAGTGAGAGGTAGTTGTAATCGATGACTTCACCCAAGCTGATGTTCGGCCCGTCAACTTCTAGATTACACTGAAACTGTACAGTACAAAAACCGCGGCGGTCAACACCACAGTTCTTGAGCTTTTTAGTTTTTTTCTATCGTCATTGAAATATATAGGATACATGGGAGTCAGATATTGACCTTAGCGCCTACTATGGGCATTAATGTGTTGACTGGTAAGTACGCTAGGTGTTACCTATTCATGAACCAAAGTTAGGTCACATCGCAGAAACAAAGTCAAGTGGCTAGTTAGGTTGTCCGCTAGGTTACTGCGCCACATATCAAGCCTGCGCGGACCGGAAAATCCATCGCCCAAGATCTGGACCAGTTATCAATTTCGGCGCTTCTATTTTTTTCTTTTCTTGATGTGGCTGTGATAGGATAATCTGGGTAGACACTTTGCCGATACACATTCCCCTTTCGCGAATTTATACCCACCTGTTTATACATATACCTATCTGCTTTCGATCAGTTCTGCTTCGACCCTCTCAGAGTTTTGCGCCTATCACAACGGAGGCCATTCCGATGTGTTGTTGATCCCTCTGCACCAAAAGCACTCAATTCCTAATCCCATCTAGTCGTGCTTAACGCCGCAAATGACGGACTCCACGCCTGGAACCAAACGACTTCACATCACTCCTTTCAACCTAGAGCTTCTCCCCTCCGTTTTGCCACCAACCATTCGGCCCTTGGCCACGGATATTTCCTTTCATTGTGTCCCAACCTTCCCTGAAAACAATTACGGTTACGTGACGCTGCCGACAATGGAGGCGGAAAAGGTTAAGAAAAAGCTCAATGGCTCAATCTTAAAAGGTCGCAAATTCAAGGTGGATACGGCGCGTCCACCGAAACGGCAACGAAGTGAGGATGAAGCACTCGACAAGATTACTCCAAAACCTCCGTCAGATAAGAAGGCGAAGAAGCGGAAGGCGGCGGAAGAGACACTCGAAGGGTATGAACTTCCGGCTGACCGCAAGGTGAAGAGAGGCTGGACAGAGTCGGCAGACGCCAAGCAAGACAGGCGCAAAGAAGAGAAAAGGAATAAGAAGTCGAAGGATGCAAAGGAGGGCAAGCCAGCCAAGTCACAGGCGAAGTCCAAGTATACCGAAAAGGAAGAGTGCCTGTTCCGTACAAAACTCCCCCCTAATCGGATGTCATCACCCGACGAGAAGCATGAGAAACAGTCGAAGAGAAAAAAGCCTGCTCATGAGACAATCGTCCATGAGTTTTCTAAGACGGTCAAGCATCCCAGTTTCCTACGGTCTGGACGTGATGAATCAGCGGACACAGTGACATTTGTTGAAGGCAAGGGTTGGATGGACACAAGTGGGACTGTGAAAGAGCCTGTCAGTGATCGGATAAGGACAGACCAATATAGACCGGGATGCATTCCAGGAACTAAGGAGAAGCCACGAGCTGTCAAGAAGGACAGCACCACGGTTCCTGGCAAGCCCAGAACGAAACAAACAATAACCACTAAAGAAGCAGAATCGACCGATGAATCAGAGGATTGGACTTCTTCCAGCGGTGGGAGCTCGTCCGAAGAGGATTCCTCGTCCGAAGAAGATTCTCAAGAGTCTGAGGGCTATGAATCTTGCTCATCTAGCTCGTCTAATGATTCAGAAGATCTAAGCATCGCCGAAGAACAAAATTTGAACTCATCAAAGCAGGAGAGTGTGGCCGAGTCACATTCGTCAGGGCTTCAATCTCTTCCGTCAGGAACTAATGATCAGACAGCGCCAACCCAGGAAGTTCATCCGTTGGAGGCTCTTTTCAAAAGGCCCGCGCCTAGCACATCTGCTATAAACTCTATTTCACAGGAGAAGCTACACTTCAGCTTTTTCGGAGGGGATGACGAAGTTGAAATGGAGGATGCGACGGAAGCCCAACCTGCAGCACCACTTACACCTTTCACAAAGAGGGATCTACGGGATCGTGAACTGAGAAGTGCGGCCCCAACACCTGATACGGCGTTAGTCAATCGAACCATTAATTGGGATAAGCACGAGCAGCCTCGGGTTATGGATTCAGACGATGACGTGTACATGACAACCCCGGTCTCAAAGGCTGCATCAGGGCCCAAAGAGGATTCCGATTTTGTCAAATGGTTCTGGGAAAATCGAGGAGACAACAACCGTGCATGGAAGAGAAGACGCCGCGAGGCCGCCAAAGATCACAGACAGCGTGAGAATCGGAGCAAGGGCATGAAAGGCAAATCCTAGATTATTCTCACTCCTATATATACGTCCAAAATGCATGATGATTGCACTTCATGGGTCGGCATTGTAGAAAGAACATCGTATCATGTCGTAGCCACATATTGTATCTTAATCAAATTCCTGCTATTCAGGTACACTAGAGGAGCGGTTATTGAGTGTTAACGGTCACGTGACGCCAAGGATCCGGGGAACAATCGGGGAAGCGATAGCAGCCGATTGTCAACATGTAGCCATGGGGCGTGATACAGCAACTGATGGCAGCAGCGGATAGTCACCCTGTCTATCTTGATAAGCAGCAAAATGCAGCTCTATGGTAGAGGTCTCGACTTGATGCTTATTTGCCTCATACTTCTCGCCTGCGCATCTGTTGGAGTGGCTTCCTGTAAGCTTAGGCCCGACATGCTTCTCCCTATTGAGCAACACATGCTAATTAGATAACTCTGATCTTAGCCCCTGCGTCGTTCTGCAAGTGTACTTGCTTCTCCAACAGCACAATAATTCCTCTTGATCCCGAAAAGTCGAATTCTCTGTCTACACAGAGCAGTCTCTTCCGTCTCCGAAGTCCCGACGATGCCGAAGATTTCCTAGATAGGAGAGCGAAGAATTACCGGTCTTTGAGCTGCAACGACTGTAATCGGAAATTTTGCTTGGATTATGATCTGCCTACTTGCAAAGGAGCAAAGGAAGAGGATGTCTTCACAACATGTTTTCGTACGACTTAATCTTGCCCCTTCGTCTCTAGAAAGATGCGCTAATATCGTTGCCGCCACGTAGAACGAGATTCCAGAAAGGACCAAGCCATTGTGTTCATTTTCATTATCGCAACCGGTAGCCTTTTGGCCTGGGCAATTATGAAGCCCTGGATAGGGAAATTGCTGGAGGTATGTACTGCAGTCTGCCTGTTGATGGCCTCGTGGACTTTGGCGATCCTGACGCATTCCAGACTGCAAGAGAGCGACGATCATATATACCTATATCGGGGAATGCAGCCCATTAGCTGGTTCCATGTTGCCAGCAGCTTCTAATAGATACACGTAATTTCCACTTCGGACGCAAAGCATAATGCCACCGGATCTTCAGAAACCCCGACGTATCGCGTCGGATTGGCTCCCTGATATTGCCGTACATAACACACTGTCCATGGAGCTTTATCGATATGACCTCATCAGAAAGAGGCGGATGTGCCCTGGTTGTATCCGAATGGCCTCCAGATATCGTCTGACGAGGCATCAATCAGCAATGGCGGACAAGAGGGAGACGGCACTGCCTTCTACATGTAATTAGACCATTACTGCGACCTGAATCAACTGACAACAGCGTCATCGTCAACCACGAACTACCGAGACCGGCCCTCTATTCTCCTCTCCTGAAAACTGCCGTCATCGCTTTTCAAACTACTATTCATATTTGCTTTGATTGCTTGAAACAGCATTTGTCCCATACCAGATGGACACCTACACGTCGTACTATGGTTCAGCTTTGGCACAAACATCTTGGCACGAGCATGAAAACATTCTTGAGGCTTCCACGGTGACTCAAGCACCCTTTTTATCATGTCATGCAAGTTCAGTCATTTTCAACAGTTGTGTATTGTTTTCGTGGACGGAAAACTAAAAATGGCTGAGACACAATCCAGGATTCCTGGTGCCGGTTTCAGCTAAGTAATAATGGCTTGGGCATGAATGTGATGATAGTCCACTTGATGTTGGCCCGGTCTGGTCACGGGTGGTCAATTGGGGGTCATACCAGACAAGCATTATTGGTGGAACAGGACTTTTCAAGTGCAGGGCTCGAAGGTGCAAGGCTAACCTTAACTTACCTGCCATAAATATTGTGCAGTAGCCTAGTACTAGAATGAGTGGAAAGTAATGCAGTGGCCATCTACCTGGTATGAGTATATTTTTTTCGGTGCCAGTGGCGAGGCACAAATGTCTTTTAGCAGGGAGAGATGGTTGCAAGTCAATAGAGCCCCGGAATTCGGTACAGTCGCGGTCTTTCATCCCTAACCATTTCCCCACATGAGTAAGGGTTCTTTACTTTGCCACTTTCACAAAGTTTGCTGACTTCAAAAGGTTGTTTGTATGAGTACATACACTTTACATAGAATATGTGCCACAGGTCAGCATGGCCTCAGATCTGCAAGCGGAACATAATTTGGCCTGCCTGAGTTTGCCTGCTGATCGTCTAACTGTAGCAGGGGCAACTATACTCCGAGCTGATCTCTAGATAATTTACCTAGTGCCGTAAACGGATTGACCTTTATAATTCGAAATGTACTGTCGAATACTCTGCCTGCAACTCATTGAATATGATTACACATATGTGCTCGTATCTTACAGCTGCTGTACCACAATTTTCTGCTTGGGGGAAATTTGCACGAAGGGTTGTTCTGGTTGGGCAGGCTCAAGGTTGCCGGCAGACCGGGTAGTCCCATGGATGAAGTACAGTGTGGCCAAGTACTAGGTAGTAGTTACTGTACTTTATGCATACCTTGAGCAATTGCAGTCCTGTTCGTCAAATTCATACTTTTATACTGTATAGTGGGTTCCACTCTACGCCAGCCCTCGCCTCTTCACCACGTTCCCTTTTCCTATGATTCTTTCTCTCTCCATCATAAGTTTCTCTCTCTTGCCCCTCCCCCCTCCCCCAAAGCTCTTTATTTCCCATTCAGCGCACTTGCGTTAGGCTAATCATCCTTTATCTTTCACTTTGCACAACCGCTCTTTACAAACCTGTTCACATCCTTGGCGATTATCCCGATATCCGTGTCTCCACTTCTATTACCAGTCTGGAATCGAAATCGGAAGCTCGACCATAGAATCACTGCAGGAGAACATTTCTAGAGAGATCTTGCATTATCCGTTATCAGCATAAATAACCAGCACAGAAAAGGGAGATATAACATACACAAAAGTACCCTTCAACAACACACCGCAAGAGTCATTTTTCATTGAGAGTCGTTGTCTCGCGGAGGGCCTGCCGTAAGAGTCTTGGTTGATTCGTCCGAAGATGGTATTAACACAGCAGAGAAGAACATCTACCTCGGACGATGAATTTCCCACTGCTCAGCTTCTCCTGCTAGGTACGCAAGGTCTTTGTTGCTCGAAACAGATGGTTTTACTAACGCCACTACTCATGTATTAGCAATATGTCGTATCGCAGAGCCCATTGCCCTCACATCCATCTTCCCGTACTCATGGGTCATGGTCAAGGACTTTAATGTGGCTGATGACAGCAATGCGTCTTTCTATGCCGGCATTCTTGTCTCTACCTTCTCACTTTGTGAGGCTCTTACGGGCATGTTTTGGGGAAGCCTCTCGGATCGAGTCGGCCGCAAGCCTGTCCTTATCTCCGGCTGTTTCGGCACCATGGCATCTCTTCTCATGGTTGGATTCGCAACCAATTTTTGGGTAGCTTTGCTCGGTCGAGCTTTAGGTGGTGTACTCAACGGAAATATCGGGGTCATTCAGACCATGGTCGGCGAGCTGGTCAAAAATCCCGAACACGAACGTAAGGACTGGTTTACTTGACGGTTTCAGTGATCTGCAGTGTTGGAATTGTTTCTGATACCCCGTTCCTATAGCCCGAGCATATGCTATCATGCCGTTCTTCTGGTCAATTGGAACTATCATCGGCCCAGGTAAGCGAAAGCGTGTCTCATCGACATTAGGGGGAGGTCTCAAGCTCATCATCTTCACAGCTATTGGAGGTTTACTTGCAAAACCTGCGGAAGGCTATCCTACTTTTTTCTCTCAGAACGGGCTTCTTGGGACATTTCCCTTTCTTTTGCCTAACTTGGTCTGCTCTGCTTTGCTTCTTTGCAGTATTATTTTTTGCTGGCTTCTACTGAACGAGACGCATCCCGATATGCAACCTCGAAATGGAGTTGGAGCAGAGGGCCCTGATAGCACATCTGTCATGCATCCTCTACTAGCCACTTCGGGACCAAGTACGACTGCAGGAGCTGATCTCCGAGCCGAGTCTTACGGGACTTTCAATCATGTGCACCTCCACGACGATCAGGATTGGCATGTGCGCTCTGATGGCTCGATAGACTCGAGTTCGCAACGGAAGGCCGTCTTCACGTGGCAGGTGACCATGCTTGTTCTCGCCTTGGCGATATTCACATATCACTCGATGACATACGATCATCTGCTGCCTATCTTCCTGCAAGATAAGAGGGCAGTCGACGTCAATTTATTGACTAGCCCGGCTCTTCGATTTCCCGGTGGAGTCGGTCTTTCGACTCAGTCCGTTGGCTTGATTATGTCTTGTGACGGTCTTATCGCGTTATTCATCCAAAGCCTTGTATTTCCAGTTCTGGCTCATTATCTGGGGGTGTGGCGCCTATTCGTCCTCGTCACCATTTTGCACCCTCTTGCTTATTTCATGGTCCCGTTCTTAATCTACGTTCCTCACGACTTCATCTTCAGCGGTATCCTTGGATGTCTGGTTGTTCGCAACGTTCTCTCGATTATCGACTATCCAGTCCTCCTGATCCTCATCAAACAAGCCAGTCCTTCTGGTTCGGTTCTAGGCAAGATCAACGGGCTCGCGGCCTCTGCGGGTGCACTCTCACGCACCTTGGCTCCGCCAATTGCCGGGTTCCTATACAGCACCGGTGTCAGGGTGCAATGTACGGCCCTCGCGTGGTGGGGGAGCACTCTAGTCGCCATTATTGGGGCAGTGCAAATGTGCTTCATTCAACAGAAGAAACATGGCTCTGTTGTAGTACAGCCTGCTGCACACTGCCGTTATGCACCAGATTCATCTACGTGGAAGCAAGAAGCTGTTCATATCATCGTGACAGAAGCTGAACCCGACATTGGTCATGAAGCCGAGAGGAACTCGCGTATGGTACAAGAGACTCATGATGTGGCTTAGATATCAGCAGCTCACTCCATAATCAGCGTCTCCTACCCTTGTCCCTGTCTTGTGCGATTTTACTTGCGGCATTAGTCGGGCTAAGCCGTACCTCGAATACACGCACAGCCTGAAAAGGTTGGGAAGTTCA